ACTATATTTTGCTTATTTCATTAATTTATTTGTCCTGGTTCCAGGGTTTGAACTCATCCTATCACTGGATTTCTTGCTCACAACTGGTGCTTTACCACTTGAGTGATAGCTCCAATCTTTTTTTTTCCAGTTCTTGAACTGAGATCTTGGTATAGGTTTATTTCTTTTTGCTTGGAGCTTTGAAGATACACGAAATAGTGCTTTCTAAATATCTGCAAATAAATGTCTGTCTGCATTAGTCCAACTTTAAGCATTGCTATTAAAACCAGGGAAGCAGATATTGTAAGAAAAGAGGTTTATTTTCCTTACAGTTTTGTGGGCTGAAAGTCCAAACAGCATGGAACTCTGGGAAGAGACCCCAGAGTTGCTGTCTTGTCACATGGTAGGTGATGTCACAGAAGGAGCTGGTGACAGAAAAGCCAGAGGGTGATCCAGGAGTTAGACTTTGCTTTCTTGTAACTACTTCATCTCTTGAGAATAGCCTAGAGAGTTCAATGAGAACAGCTACACCTTGTAAGCTAACCACTCCCACGGGGTCCTACCTCTGACGGGCCCCTTGAGCTTTCTACATGGAAAGCAAGAACACTTGGAGCTAAGAAAAACGCTGCCTGTCTTTGATGCCAGGATTAGCCGTGGCCATGAAAATTCCTTGGAGTGATAACTGTAAAACCCCAGAGTAGGCAGAGTGAGCTCCTCACTCCGGGGATCAAGCCCCATCCAACTCGTAGCAGAGAGTGTGTGTGTCTGTACTGCTTTCTCATCAGAGTGCAGTTTATGGTTATCATTGGATCTGTAATGTTCTGGTCATCTTCATCACCCAATGGATCAGATGGAAACACTCCCACTTGGGAGAAATGGCCAGCTTCCATGGTGTCAAAAGTCTTTTCGCTTTGACCGGTTTCAAGCTGTCATTCTTGACATCATTGCAGGGGGAAAAAATCTGGAAAAGATGTGCAGAGTTGGCACTCTTAAACGTGTACATACCAGCTTCTGCGCATTATTAGAATGTAGAACATTAGGAAGAGAAAAGGATTTTTAAAAATAGAGGTAACAAATCTGTAATATTGTAGCAGCGAACAAACATCAAGTTCTCAAATAGGATTCTTTTTCCCTCTGGCATTTTGTCTATGTGTTCTTTATGTCTTTTGCTTCTTGATTTACTTCCTCAAGAATATCATGTTAATGGTTGCATAATGTTCCAGCAGACTGATGTAAGATTATTCATTAACCCTAATTGTAGACATCTATGAAACGACTAATTTTTAATACTGCTATAAATAATGTTCTAATATCATTGGATCTATATCTATATAGATATATTTCTTTGGTTATAGATCTTCCTTTATATTTCTAACAATTTCCTTAAGACAGATTTAGAATCTGATTTTAGAAATCAAATTTTTTTAATTTGGGCCTTTAAAAAAATATTTCCTGGGCTGGGAAGGTGGCTCAGTGGTAGAGTGCTTGCCTTGCATGCATGAGGCCCTGGGTTCGATTCCTCAGCACCACATAAGCAGAAAAAGCCGGAAGTGGTCCTGTGCCTCAAGTGGTAGAGTGCTAGCCTTGAGCTGAAGGACAGTGCCCAAGCACAGAGTTCAGGCCCCACAACTGGCAAAAAAATTCTGAAATTATCTAGAAATTTGTAGTAGTATGTTCCTCCTCATGGTAGTTAACAGTGTTTTTACCCAGACCAAGCAAAACAGTTTCTGTCTGTTAATCCCAAATATTTAGGAGGCAGAGATCAGGAGGACATTAGTTTTAAAAAGCTATAGAAGCCGGCTACCAGTGGCTCATGCCTATAATCCTAGCTACTCAGGAGGCTGAGATCTGAGGATCGTGGTTCAAAGCCAGCCGGGGCAGGAAAGTCCATGAGACTCTTTATCTCCAATAAGCCACTAGAAAACTGGAAGTGGCGCTGTGGCTCAAGCAGTAGAGCACTCGCCTTGAGCTGAAGAGCGCAGGGACAGTGCCCAAGCCCAGAGTTCAAGCCCCACAACCAAAAACAAAAAAAAGCCATAGAAATCCCATCTCAACAAACAAACTAGATGTGGTAGCAACATTCTGTAATCCCAGAAGCCTCCCTGGAAGGCATGGGTACAAGGATTGCGGCTTAACATCTGCCCAGGAGACTCTTACCTGCAAAAAAAAAAAAAAAAAAAAATGGCTGGAGAAGTAGCTTGAGTGGTAAGACACCTTGCCTAATAAACCCTAGCACCTGAAAGAAAGAAAAGAAGAAGAATCCTTTTTCTGTAACTCACTACTTTTGTGTATGTGTGTGTGTGTGTGAGAGAGAGAGAGAGAAAGAGAGAGACAGACAGACACACAGACACACAGATAGACAGACAGAGACAGAGAGACGGAGAGGGATCGAGGGAGGGAGGGAGGGAAGGAGGGAGAGATTCCTGGGACTTGAACTTACAGCCTCACATCTCCAAGTTCTTACACAGCTTCTTTTCTCATGACTGGCGTTTTACTACTTGAGCACTATCTGCAATTCCAGCTCTTGATGGTTAAGAGGAGGCTAGAGTCTGGAGATTGACCTGCCCAGGCTGGCTTTGAACAGGCATGTGCAGATGTCAGTTTGAGTAGCTAATATGAGCGGTGTCATCCATTCACATCTGGCGTTCACTGACACTTCCTTTTATAACAAGTGATCATTTCTGATCATTTGATAATTACGTTTTCACATTGAACTTCTCTGCAAGTCTGCTGAATGTTTTCCCTCCTCCTGACCATTTCTGTTTCTCCTTTTTAACTTTTACCTCCATGTGATGACTTCTTCCCTGTGTCCCTATATCCTTGGTGACTTGGGGCCCGGGCCTGACCTGTGCCTACGTTACTTCTTGGCTAGTCATCTTGGAGCACAGGGGGCCTGCAGGGTCTCCACCATTGTCCTGGGGGCCTCCTTTCCTTACTCCTTTCAATGACTTTCATCAGTGCAAGCCCATCTCCCATCCCCCATCCAAACTCGCCCCCCTTCTCCCTTGCCCTGCCTCAATTCTCAGCATTCCCTTTTTCACAGCGCTCAGTGCTGTCTGATGCAACATGTCTCCTGTCTGTCCTTCATCCTCGTCCCCAAAGCAGAAGGTTGATAAAGATGGGCAGCACCCTTGAGAGCTAAAGAAGTATGGGACACTCGGTGACAGTTGTTGAAGGAATAAGTATACTCTGGCCCCGTCTTTAAACATTTATAAATGTTATTTTTATAAAATAAATTTATTTTTTTATTATGTAAAATAATGGGTTTTATGATAACATTTTAATTCTTGTAAACAATGTATTTTTATCTCATTCACTCTTCATCTGCCTTTCTGTTTCTCTCCTGCTGGTCCCGATTCCCCCAAGAGTCCACCTTTTACCTTCACATATTTTGTTTGTTTGTTATTCATTTAGAGATCTAGATTTCCCAAATGAGAGAAAATATTTAATATTTGTCTTTCAGAGCTTGGCCTTACTCCTCTTAACACAATGATCTGTAGTTCAATCAATTTTCCTAGAAACAACATAACTTCTTTTTTTCCCCCTTTACGGCTGTAAAACATGTTTTGTGTACATTTACCACATTTCCTTTTTCATTCATCTTTTGATGGGAACCTAGGCTTTTATTCCGCAGGCAGTCTATGGTGCATAGTGCTGCAGTCAGGGTGGATGAGAGGGTATCACTATTGTATGCTAGCTCTCAGTCCTTTGCGTGTTTACCTGGGAGTTAGATAGCAGGATCTTTTCTATTGTTGGAAGAACCTCCATACTGTTTTCCATAGTGCCTGGGCACTGCAGAACCATAGTTCCACCAATAGCATTTGCCCATCATCAACATTTGTTATTGTCTTATTCTCCTGATGATAGCAGTATGACTGGGTGGCATTGGAATCTCAGTATTTTTATTGTGTTTCTCTTTATGACTAATGGTATTGAACATTTTTCATGTATTTCTTGGCCATTTGTATTTATTCTTTGAGATCTGTTCTCTTCCCTACTTACTGATTGGATTATGTGTTCTTTCGCTGTTTATTAATTTTTTAGTTCTTTATATATTTTAGTTATTAATCCTTTGTCAGATGAATAGCTGGCCAAGATTTTGTTCCCATTAGGTGAGCTCTCTCTTCATTTTGGTAATGTTTCCTTTATAGTGCAGAAGCTATTGAATTTGATAAAATCCCAGTTTTCAATTCTAGCTAGCAGCTCTCTTTAAATGGCAAAGTTAATTATTTGCAATATAAATATTTTGTTAAAAAAAGTACATATTTGTAGATTGTTTATGAGTATGATTTTGAACAATTAGGTTGATAAGTTTATGTCGCTAAACCTTCCATTTAAATTTCTATTAAAATCAGACTTGCTTATTCTTATTCATAAATAGAACAGGTAATTTTCACCTATACTTCATTCGAACAGTTTTATTGTTTGATTTTTTTACGTGAATTCTTCAATCTAAAAAGAACTTTGTTGCATATGATAAAGTCAACATCTAAATTTGCTTTTTTCCCCATGTAACTTAATCGTTGGGTTTTTGTTATGAATTCACTCAGCTTTTCTTCTCATCATAGCTTATAGTATTTTTAAAATTCAATGTGAATATTTTCCTCTCCTGTAGAAGTCAATTCTCAGTGAATGTTTCTCCATTGTCTGCGTGGTAGTTCTGTGCTGGTATCTCTGTATTTTAAAAGTACTCTCCAATACGGATGAAATTTGTTTGCTTTTGTTATCATTACAAGTTCCCATAAGATAACAGAGCAAATATGTGGGACTCGGGTTCCCTGACGTGAAAGTTCAAGTTTACTCCAGCTACATTGAGTCTAAAGCACCTGGCACGTGTGACCGGGAGGAAGGATTGGCTCCCCCCACCCCACACTTTTGATAGTGAATTAAGATGATACTTTCCCCCTACTGGCTCCTTGATAAATATTTGTGGGTTGAATTGCATTGAACAACAGGGCATGAGGCCTTTCTAAGGAGCACTTTCCCTTCTCCATCTCTCTTGTGTTTTCTCCTTCTCTTAGCTGCGGTCCAGCGCGGAGCTCCATCCAGACCTCCTCACAGACTGCCTCACAGTGCAGCCCCTGCAGCCAGCCACTTCCCCACGAGATGCTCCTGCAGAAGGCCCCTTGGGCTGCTCCCCCAGGTCCGGTCCCGACCTCTATCCAGGTAAGAAAGCACACATAGAGCCAACCACAACCATCCTTCTTTAGGCCTTTCACCCGGGGTAAAGGGAATGTCACATGAGGAACAGTTGCATAAAACCATCTTGTGTTTGGCTTCATCAATGAGCTACACATTGTTCCCCTCTCTATGTGATTCCTGAGCTACGTTTGGTAACAGACTGTTTTGTTTTTGGTTTTCCTTGTCCAGAAACACCGTTAAATAATGGATTAGCTCTTTTAATTCTGCCAAAAGTTCAGTGCACCCAACCCTCCCAGCTATCTTAAATGTTCTGACTTGATTTAGACTCAGAGGAAATATTACCCCCGCCCCCCACCCCCGTCCTGTCCCCACCTTTAAATAGGTTACAGGCTGAAGGTAGATTGCTTAGTGGAAGAGTCATGATTGTCTTTGCATTTGAAAAAGAAGCTCCAAATTCCCCAAGATTGACTCGTAAGAATATTCATTAAATCCTCTCCCAACTCTTGAAAGAGAGGAAAGGGGAAGGCAACGCAATCACCTTCCTAATGCCTGGGTGTGAATATTAAATGACTTTAGATTTGGAAAATTGCATGTACGTGGTGAAAAGTTTGAAAAGATTAATGTACTATAAGGAAGTTATTTTTTGCTCAGTTTCTTAGCCTACATTTCTGTGCACTTTTTGCGCTACGGTGGTGATGTACGTGCACAAACATAATTATTATCATTGCATACAGAAAGCTCTTACTGTATGCTGTATGGAAACCAAAGTCATAGCTGCACCCCCACTTCAGACCCTGAGAACTTTCTATTTGCTCTGAGTTAAACTTCCCACCCACTTTCACCTCCACCAGACACCATATTCAGGATTGGCAGCAAGCTGATCTTTTCTTTTTCTTTTGAAAAGTACTAATTAAGCCATAAATAATGAAGCATTAAGAAAACAGAATGAAGAATTTACTGATGAATTCCAGTGGAATAAGAGCAAGACATCCTTGTGGAGTATTACATTTATTCAAACATGTATATAATACACTTTGCTCATGTATTCTCTCTCTTTCACACACACACACATACACACGTACACAATTAATATCTTCTCTTGTTCCCTTTTGTATAGCTTTTTTGTATGTTCTAGGGCTTGAAGTCTGGGCCTACGTGCTATCCCTTAACTTTTTTACTCTATTATTTGGGCCACAGCTCCACTTCTGGGTTTTTGATGGTTCATTGGAGATAACAGTCTCATGGACATTCCTGCCCAGGCTGGCTTTTGAACTGTGATCCTCAAGTCTTAATCTCCTAAGTAGCTAGGATTACAGGTATGAATTACTGGCACCTGACATTATATAGCTTTTTAACTTAATAGTACTACGATGGTCCAAATGCAGGAAAAATGGATATTAACCAATAATTTCAATAATACCAGTCACCAGCATCCCCATGATGGTCCAGTTTTAATGGCTCTTTAACAGTTCCTTTGGTTAAAACTCTTTTAGGGACCCATAGAAATGAGATTCAAAGTTAGAAGTTTGAAATAAGGTGCTTACACACACACACACACACACACACACACAATATGTAATAACACAGTTATGACACGTGCATAAATATTTGTATTAGATATGTACATGAAGAATGATTAGATTTTGATAATGTATTTATTCATATATACATATGCATGATTTGTCAAATGGTTGACATTTGAACATTTATTCCAGCACATGAAATTAACAATCAGGTTAAACATCCCATACAGCATTCTCCTACTTCTTCAGTCATATATGTATATATGTATATATATATATGAGTATGTATGTATGTGTATATATATATATATATATATATATGGGTATGTATATATATGGATATGTACATATATCCCAAGAGCTATTTACAAATGACTGAGAAATGGATCAATATTAAATATCAATAGTTTCCAGTGATGGGCCAGTCATGTTGCATTGAGCCCTCCTGGAAATGGCTTGGAGAAAACCATGCTATTTGCAACTATGAGAGCTTTGTTACACTTCCCACATAGCATGTGGTTCACCTTCAGAACCATGGTATTTTTTGGGTATATGTTGCTGGATGTCTGCTAGTGTCTGCAAATTTTTGGAACTTTAAAGATTGTAAGGTTGAGTTTGAGATGGCTTTGTGATTCCAAATAGATTCCTACTTTCTGTGTGACAATCTCACAAAGATCATGCGCTCTGAACCTTTGAGCCTCTAGCTGTGGCAAATGAGCTGCCACCAAGCGCAAGGAAGTTACGTTGCGATAGCCATTGACCAAGCAGCTTCAGATAGGCAGACATTTTCTGGGACTCTGAGAATACTTGATACAGACAGTGACCATCTTAGGCAACTTTGTTCCTGAAACTTCACTTCTTCAGGTAGCTTATACCCATGAGACTTTAATCTCCCCTACTTCTATTTCCTTCAGGCCCTATTTTATTTTCTTGGCATATATATATATATATATATATATATATATATATATATATACACACACACACACACATTAGTTATTATATAAATACATAATATCACACACATACATGTATGTGCCTGATTATACCTTTCATTTTGCAGAGTAGGCAACAAACTCAGGCAGAACCAAGCAGGAGGAAAAGCTACAGAAGAAAACTTGTAGCTTTCCTGTGCAAGTGCTGGAATTGTACTTGTATTTGTACACCAGCTGCAAGCATGTGCTAAAGCTCTATGGAAAAAAAGTCAAACTGTGAAAAAAAATGTCAAAGGTGCCACGGGAAACTGTTCATCAATTAGCTGAATGTAAAATCTGAAGTGTTAAGGCATTGAAATGTAGATTAAGACTTAGCTAAATGGCAAAAATACTCGCAAGTTATTTCCTTCAGTTTCTGTTATTCAAAACAAGGAAGATGTCTATTTAATGGTGGTCAGACACTCATGCTTTTAAATGCTAGCAAACTGATTTGGTCTAAAAATATCTGTGCAGCTCTCTGTTGAGCTGTGTATGTGGAAGGCTGGGAAGCAGTTAAATGTGGCCTTGAACACCACAGTCTCATAGAAGCCACAGTAATTCAAGATTGAAAGTCTCCAGATGTCATGATTTTGCAATGGGTATTTTCACTGAGTGGTGAACCGTGATTTACAAGGTTTTAGGAGAAGAGATGGTTTCCAGAACATCAAGATAAACAGGAAAGATAGCAGTTCTAATACACAGACTTCTTTCCTTTCCCCCCCATTTGTCTCCTTTTCCCCCCAGTGCTGGGGATCAAACCCAATGTCTAACACAAGCTCAGTGCCTCTGCCCACCCCCCGCCCACAGCTCCTGACACAAGAAATTTGTGTATCTCCTGAAATGTTGCCTTCCCTTATTGAAGCAGCCCTTTCACATTGATAAGATGGAGCTTGAGTGAAATAGATTGCCTGAAAAGACTTTCATTTCTGTAGTAGAAAATAGGTGTCCCAGGTTAAAGCAACCAAATAAACTTGAGTCCATGCTGAGGATGACTTGAAATTGAAGTGTTTACTTTTCCACTATTCTGAAAATCCCAGGGCTCCCCAACCTGGCTCCTATACTGACCTAAGAGCAATGTTGTGATCTAACGGGAAGAAGGCCAGCCAGTGATGAACAAGCCTCAAGGATGGCTCACTTTTATTTTCTGCCCTTTTGTTCAGAGGTTCTGTTTCCCCCAGGCCAGCCTGGAAATTCATTAATTTACTTGATGAATCAGAGAGATTTATCCGTGGATTGAGATGTGAATGCCACTTTCAGGGCTTTAATACCAGTACTGATCTTCTGTTGTGCTCCTGTGATAAACTAATGAAGCAGATAATCCTAAATTTTAGTGAAGGTCCAACATCACAGGCAGCTTAGACCAATGCCTGTTCTCTGCAGAGTCCACTTCTTAACAAAGAATGCTCTGTGGAAGATGATCTGGTCCCTGGGTGACCACAAAAGCAATGGCTCCTTCCATTCCGAAGCTGGGCTGCAGATTTAGTAAGAAGATATGACCTTAGTCAAAGACACAAGTCAGGAGGGCATCATAGAGTCTCTTGTGGCTGAGATGTTGGACTTCCATGGAAACCACCTTAATCAGATTAAGAATTAATGTAGCTAGACCCAGAGAAATCTACAAGAATGAGGGAGTTACATTGGTACCACTTCTTTGGGGTTATAAAATAGTGCTTCTGTTCCGTGTTTATAAGGTCCTGTTAAGGCATCTGAATTTTGAATGGAATGCTAAGGTTTTTATTTTTATTTTTTCAAGTAAAGTACACATTTTTATTTAAGTACCATATAGAAATGCAGAAGAAAAATAAATATTTCTTTTTAGAGCAGGGATTTTTCAAGCTGTATATGACCATTTCCTTCCCTCCTCATTCATTACTGAGAGATGAGGATTTCTCCCTTACAATATCATTAGTTTATGTGATAAATAGCACTATATTAAATCTATAGAAGGCCTAACTTTATACTTCCATACTTTGTGAAATAGTGTTTCATTTTAACGTGACTTTATGGTATATGTTTTAATATATATTCTACATTCTCAAATTGGATGTATTTGCTGTCTTTGGACCGCTTGCGACATTGTGTTAGAAATAATTTTCTATAAAAATGCCTCATATAGTCTGCTCCCAGAAAATGGTTGTTCATTTTGGGACGTTATTAGAGGGTACTAAATTGACACACAGATTTCCCAGTAGGTTAAACTTTACAGGAGAATTGTGAAGATAAAACATGATCTCCATAAAGATCTGTATAAAAAAAGACAGAACATGATTTTTAAAAGTGCACAGTTATTTCTGGCATTATCATTAGAAAGCACTGCTTTGTTCAAAGTTCACATGTGTGAAGGGACAAGAAAACAACTCTGAGATGGCACTGGACAGACGGACTTGGGAGACTGGGATACAAAAGAGATTTAAAGGATGCCCCGACAACAACATTTTATAGTATTTCTTTTGATGGTTTCTTAAGCTGCTTTCAAAAGCCAGTATTGTTTCTGAGGCATCTCTTGCACCAGATATCTACCAATTTG